CAGGGCACGGGTTTTTTTTTTTTTTTTTTTTTTTTTCCCCTTTAGTCTTTGTAGGGAGTAGCAGCCACTGACCTCAGAAGCAATCTTGTGTGTTCTGACATAAAATGATATGTACAGGCAGCTCACAGCTGGTCCCAAATCCCAAACAATTTTGCTGCAGGGTGCGCTTACTTCTGAATGACAGTCTTCTACAGCTGTGCAAGCTCTCCTACAGAAGGTACAGGGACCCTGAAACATCAGCACTTTTTTCTCAACTTGGTACTTGTACTACTGCACCTGACAGCTCAGAAGTGCATGGTTCATCATTTCAGGCCAAAAATAAATAAGTATCGGTTTGGAGAGGGCAGGGAAACACTTGATGCTAGACTGGTGGTGAAAAATAGCCAAGGCTTTTGCTGTTCTAGCTCAACACAGCTCCGCATGCTGTGGACTCCTCAGTACCAAGGGATGAGGCTGGGCAGAAAACCAGCCTGGCTTGCTCTCAGAGCAGGCAGCAGCCCAGTCACGCCATCGAGACTAGCTGGGCTTACAAAGCTGGACTTGGTGGGAAGCATGGGAGCCCAAGGGAAGCCTGTGACTTGGGCTGGTAGGGAGACTGTGGGGAGTGTGGTGCCCCTGTGTTCAAGAGCTGGGAGGGACTAAGGGGTTCTGATTTGCCTTCCTCATGGGATGCTAATACTCCTGATTTCCCCCCCCCCCCCGCCCCCCCCCGCTAATACATTTGCAGTGGGCTGGCAACACCCTTGGGCACAGTGGAGACACAGGCTGATTTAAAGGAAACAGGCAAATTAATGAAAGTGTTCACAAAGCCCCTGTATAGCGCTCTCCGTGCAGATACATGCACAGCTAAATATTCATTAAAAATAAGAACCTTACACCTCCTCTTAGATGAGAAGAATGATTAAAAACTTCAATTGTCCTTGGTCCACAGTGGCACAGAGCATGCAGAATATAACCCACAGGAACAGAGACCTGCAGCTTTTGCAAGGCCATCCCCCAACATCTGGGGCACCTGAGCCATCACAAGCTCTTTTTGCCATTGAGTAACTGAGCATGCTTGTCTTCATCCAGCTTCAAGTGCTTCTTGCTGTATTTCTTGATGAGGGTCCCTGGTATCAATGCTGCCACAGCCATTGCAAGCAGTTTGAGCAGCGTGTCCCAGGAGAAAATGGCATCCAAAGAGGTGATTTGTGACAGAATGGCTCCTGTCTGCACGCAGATGAAATTATATGGTGTAAGACCTGAAAGAATCAGAGCAGAAAAGAGCCTGTTAGCATCCCCACCTCTGTAAAATTAGCTCAAATATGCCCTTGCCCAAGGCCAGATGCAGGGGTCTGTGTTTGTAACAGAAAGAATGGGGTGTGATTCAAAACTTTGCTACATTGGTGATGCACAAAAGTTTGCAAAATGCTCCGAGACCTCTGAGTATAAGGGCAGCACAAAGGCAAACAGTTAAATGGAAGAGTCACAGCTACGACCCTGCCGCTCTGCCTTGCCCAGCTCAGCATACTACCCAAGGCTTGGTGATGAGGAGAGAGGCAATGTCACACTGCCCCCTCAGACAGTCTCCCCAGGCCTTACCGATAAGAACAGATAAGAAGAACTGGGACACAGGGATGTTTAAAATGGGAGCCGAGAGATTCAGAAACCAGTTTGGTGTCATGGGGAACAACCTCAGGAATAACAAGAAGAAAAATAAGCAGCTCCTGTTCTCTTCTACCTGCCAAGAGAAATGTTCCAAATTATTTCTGCTCTTCAGACAGCTGTAACATCTGGATGTCCACGATACTGAAGTGAATTTAAGTTTTCTTCTAACATGCCGCAACATAACATCAGTCCAGAACTGATCAAAAGCGGCAACTTTATGTATGTATGGGAGCCTAATGGCGAGCCAGCCCCTTCCATGCAAGCCCTGAAAATGGGATCTAACCTGAATGAGAGACTGGAAAGTCAACAGAACTACCTCCATCTGTACAATGCGGCACAGGATGGGTGAAGGCAGTTCTGGAGCACAGGGGCTTGCTTCCCAATCAATCCATTACCTTACTTCTGATTCTCCTTGGGATCTAGGATTTTCCGTGCACCCCCTCAAGCAAGCAGGCTTGCTCCCAAAAGAGCAGTGTGCTCCTAGATTGTGTCAGAGGAAGCCCTTAACTGACCTGACGCATCCCCTGCGCCTATTCATTTTTTTACTGAGTCAACCCAAAAGGCAGCCTCACCCAGGGGGCATTCTGGGTGTCTGCAGAACCATGGCTGCTTACCTTTCTTTGCAGCAGAGCCACTTTATCAGGAAAGTAGTAGACGACGAACTGCTTCCCGAACGTGCCAGAGAGCAGGTAGCAGAAGGTCGCTCCCACAGACGTTAGGGCCGAGCACAGCACCAGCCCAGTCCACGGCCCAAAGAGTGCTCCAGCCAGAACGTTCTGCCAGGGCACAACACCGAGTGAGAGCCCGGGGACACGCACGCGTGTCCCCTCAGCCTGGCTGCCCTCAGCCTCGGTCGCTCCAGCTTCTCCAGGGCATCGGGCAGAGCCGTCTCCTTCCGGCAGAGCCCTGACGCACCCGGCAAGGCACCGACCTCGCACCTTGCCCCAGCAGGCAGCGCCTGGTCCGGAACTGGGGGCAAAGGGCCCCTC